TATTTTGTGTATGTTAAATGGAATTTATGTCTCAATTTCCATGTAAAAGTTGTAATGAAAGCTGCTGATAGCTTTTAATAATTACATAATGGGTAAGAGCACACAAGAGTCTACTGGACCAAATCATGTTCTATTTACTATATATGCCATCTTGAGCAAATTATTAAGCCTGGGGCCTCAGTTTCCACATTGATTAGATGGGAATAGTACTACCTTTTTCACATGTTATAATGAGCATTTTTCTATATTTTAGAAAGTTTTTGACAACATGATTTGTGATAATTACATAATCTTTATTATATGGTATATTAGTTCCTAGAGTTACTGTAACAAAGTACCACAGATGGGTGGTTTAAAACAACAGGACCATTTTGCCTCTTAGTTGTGGAGGTTAGAAGTCTAAAATTAAGGTATCAGTAGGGCCATGCTTTTTCTGATGGCTCTAGGGAAGAATTCTTCCTTGCCTCTTCTAGTTCTGGTGTTCGGTGACAATCCTTGACATTCCTTGGCTTGCAGATGCATCACTCTAGTCAGATGGCTATCTTCTCCCTATGTATATTCACATCATCTTCTGTGTGTGTCTGTTTCTGTGTCTAAATCTCTACTTTTCATAAGAACACCAGACACATTGGATTAGGGCTTACCCTGATGACCTTATCTTAACTAATTACATCAGCAACAACCCTATTTCCAAATAAAGTCACATTCTGAAGTATTTGGGGTTAGAACTTTAACCAATCTTTTTTGAGAGACACAATTCAACCCAAAGCATATGGCTATATGCTCATTAAATGAACTTATCAGTAATATATGTAGCCACTTTCCTCTTGATAAACAGTTAAGTAGTCTACCTTTAATTTTAAAATTATACTCAAATGCTTATTTTTACACCATTATTTTGCACCATTACTTATAACAGCAAATAATTCTAAATAAACTAGAGATCGAGCAATATAGAATGTTAAATAATGTTAAAATATCCAGGTAGTGAAATATTTACATATCATTAAGAAGATATGATAGAAATTTATATAAGCAGAAATTTATACTCTGGGCCATGAGTAACTGGTACCAGACTAGCCCTTAGCCATAAAGAGTAAAAAGCTGGGGGAGAAACTTGAAATTTTTTTCTAGACATTAGACAAAAGGCACCAAAGATTCTAATCCCCAATAGGAGGGAAAAAAATAAAATGAGCTCTACAGTTTCCCTGGCTTTCTTCCTAGAGTCATTTACTAGACCCTGGCATAGGGTAAAGGAACCAAGTACAGCACAGCAATTTTATTGTACTGAGGAGACAGAAATCAGAGTTTGGCGAGACTGAGGTTTCTGGAATTTGTGGAGCAGAGTAATGCAGAGGTGCCAGCTATATCTAGAAAGAACTCTGGAAATCTCCATAAGAGTTTCTTGAGCCTTTGGTTGATTACTAAGCTGTGGATACCTAGAATGAGACTCCTTAAGTCCTGAGAAAGAACAAATACCAAGTAGCTGCTAACTGAACAACACTTGGAGCTCACACAGGGTGGAAAATATTCAGTTCCAAACAGCAGAACAAACTTAATACCCAGGGCATTCAGTATAGACACCAGAAGAGATTAAACTAGCCCTAAAATAAAGCTCTCTAGGGAAACCTTAACAAAGTTTAAAAACAAGTCTTGAAATGGTCAAGCTGCTCTGCAAATAAATTATCTGTCTACCAGAGAAAAACTAAGCAATCTTTAAAAAAAGACAACAAAATCTAGATACTCAACATGTTTAGTATCTGATAAAATTGCTAGATGAAGGAAGAAGCAGGAAAATGTGACCCATAACCAGAAGAAAAATCAGACAATTGAAACAGACCCAGAAGTGATGGTGATGATGGAATTATCAGAAAAGAAGTTTAAAACATTTTTTTATAGATATGGTCTAAGATTAAAAAAAAAAAAAAAACTATTAAGAGGAGAAAAAAATAAAACAAAAAATAAGTAAAATAGAAGTACTAAAGCGAAAAGTTTAAATATTTCACATAAAAAATATCTGGATGAGTTTAAGAGTAGATAACACAGAGGGAGGAAAAATGTGTAGGTGATAGAGACTTTGTTCATTCCTCTTGCAATCGGATTAGAATTGGGACAGAAACAGGGTGCAAACAGAAAGGAAAGTCACCTGGGATCTAGATGAACAAGCCCTACAACTAGTCAGAGATAAGAAATCACCATGCAATGGGAGGAGGTAGGACGGGGTGAAGACATGAGGCTGCCTGGTCCTAAGCAGCTGAGTGGGACAGAGGCTGCAGCAGTGGCAACTGGCAGTTGCAGATGCCTCTAAAAGGGCTGTGTCTGCGAGTGGACTTTTGCAGTGGTGGAACTGCTCACTCTGAGCACCAGCGCCAGGTCAGCTGCTCAGGGAGGTGCCAGGGGCTTACAGGGGAACACTGAGTTGTTGGAGTGAGGGCTGGAGGCAAGGATCTCTCCCAGACAGAAGTGCAGCAATATCCATTGTTCCTCTTTTGAGCCCTACCCGCTCCCAGTGCGTTCCTGCTGCACTCCCATAGCTGAGAGGTGATCAAACTACATTACAGAGGTTGCTCCGCCCAGAGGGTTCCCTGAAACTTCGCCTCCCCTGACTCATGGCCCCACCCAAGCCACATCCAGGTGTGCCCTCCATGAATCAGGTGCTCCTTGCTGAGCAGCACCAAGACTCACACTGGCGGCAGCTAGCCTTGGTTTCTGGTGTGGTTTCTTGAGGCAACTATAAGGCAGCATCCGTGGATTGCTTGCTCAGTCTTAGCAGGTGGCCCTGGAGGGGCACAGTTTGGGGCTAAACTTGGCCTGCAGTTGGACCCCTCTCAGGACTGTGCCACTGGACACCTGCTACACAAAGCCATGCTAATAAGACGAGGGGACTTAGGAGCTTTGCTTAGTACATAGAAACAGACAGAAAGGCAGCCGAAATGGGAAGACAAAGAAGCAGAAACCATATGAGAGAACAGAGATCCAGGAATAATGGAGTCAAGCAATCTAACAGATGCAGAGTTCAAAACACTGGTTATAAAGATGCTCAATGAACTTTTGGTTAAATCCAGTGAGAACTTCAACAGAGATAAAAAACATCAAAATGGAAATGGAAGTTATAGGGAACCAGTCAGAAATGAAGAACACATTATCTGAGATGAAGAGGATATTAGATGGAATAAAGAGTGGATAAGGAAGAGAATTGAACCACTGATATAGAGGATGGGGAAGCCAAGGACAGTCAATGAGAATGGCAAGAAAAAAGAAGCCAAGACTATAATAACTTAAGGAACTTATGGGACACTATTAAATATGAAAATATCCGTGTCATAGGGGTACTTGAAGGAAAACAAAACTTTGAAGAACTATTTGAAGAAATAATGATGGAAAACTTCTCTTACCTGGGAAAGGAAGACTGGCAGCTGATTTCTCTAAAGAAACTATGCAGGACATAAGGGCTTGGCTAAAAATATGCGACATGATGAAAACCCAGGATCTACAACCAAGAATACTTTATCCAGCAAAGCTATCATTTAGAGTTGAAGGGCAGATAAAGATCTTCTCAGACAAAAATAAGCTAAGGGAATTTATCATCACCAAGCCAGTATTACAAGAAATGTTGGAGGGACTTCTTTAAGAAGAAAGAACATGTATCAAAAACATGAATAAAGAATGGTAATATCTACATTCCTATCAACAAGTACCCCGAATGGAAAAGAATTAGGCGCTCCAACCAAAAGATAGGGTTGCTGAATGGATAAGAAAACAAGATCCCCTACATATGCTGCCTACAAGAGACTCACTTCAGATTAAAAGACACACACATACTAAAAGGAGGGGGATGGAAAAAGAAATTGCTTTGATGGACTTAGAGGGTATTGTGCTGAATAAAATGGGTCAGATAGAGAAAGACAAATATTGCATGATTACACGTACATGTGGAATCTAAAGAACAAAATAATAACAAAAGCAGTCATAAACTCATAGATACAGAGTATATTTTGAGGGTTACTAGATAGTAGGGGGGTTGAGGGGATGACAAAAAAAGGCAAAGGGATTAAGAGGTACAAATGGATAGTTGCAGAATAGATGTGGAGATGTAGAGTATAGCATGGGGAAGATGGTTAATAGTGTTATAAATATGTAGGGGGAAGAAGGGTACTAGATTTAGTGGGGTGATCACTTCATGAGTTATGTGGATCTCTGATCACTAGGCTGTACAAATGAAACTGGTATATTATTGTATGCCAACTAAAAAACCTCATTGAATTGTACAATGTAAATATAAGTAACTAATCATCTATTATAATTCAGTAAAGCTGGGAAAAGAAAGAAAAAAAAGTAGATAACACAGAAGAAAAGCACTGTGAAATTGAATATATAGCAAAAGAAACTATCCAAACTGAAGCTTAGAAAGAAAGAAAGCTAGAGTGGGGGAAAAGAGAAAGAGTGCCAGAATTACCCTGATAGCAATATGAGTCAAAGACATTATAAGAAAGTTACTGAACATAGATGAGGAAATTCTTAACAATTTTTTAACAAACGGAACCCAACAGTACATAAAAAGGACAATTCTTAACAATTTTTTAACAAATGGAACCCAACAGTACATAAAAAGGACAAGGGAGGTTATTCCAAGAAAGCAAGGTTGGTTTAAATATTTGAAAATCAGTGTGATTCATTGTATTACCAGACCAGGAA